TATATATAATTCTCTGCACTTGACGACTCACACGATATTCTAGATTCAGATAAAATAGCCACGGAAAATTCAACCCCCAAGTGTCCATACATAAGGCAAATAATTATAATCCACTATTAGTTGGCTTCAAAAAGGTTTTAACTCTGACCCCTGAACCAAATAATATCAAAAAAGGAAAAAGATTAATCCAAACTAAATTTACATTTGAATCAAACGTAAAAGTTCAGTCAACTGACAAAGATATCATAAATAATTTAAAAATTTTGCAAAGATATATTTCTTTGCCTAGATTTTCATTCATTTAGACGACCTCTTTCTCTTTAACTATCGTTCAAAAAGTCATTAGGATTAAGACATTTTATTCCCCCACTATTATGTGCACAATCGAAATATTTTTTTTCTTTAACGTCAAAAATAGAATAAAATGTGTGACGTACTATGGGCAAGTGCAATCTGTGCACACTGTGGGAAATCTACTCTGACTTTTATACATATTAAGATGAGTTATGAATGCAGGTAAAAAATAATTTTGTCAAGAATTGGATTCAAAAATTTTTCGCTCTCTTGTAATAAAAACTATTTACCAAGGCAAATCAGCCACAGATTTGAGATATTATCTCTCATCGCGCTATTTGTGAAGGAATATGAACAAATCAAGAAGGAAGACTTACTATTGTGAGAGGATGGATAACTATTTCTTGAATTACGTTCCCCACTGAACTCTAGAAGTGTGCACAGATAGTGAAACTACATGTGTCCAGAAGCAAAACAAGGTGCATCTCAGCATTTCTAAATGAATTGTAGAAGTAAGCACGATAGATATTTTAAAAACATTTAACAGGGTACACAATTTACCATGCAAGGACGAAATTTAATATTTAAAAACATTTATTATTAAACAGGGACACAGCAAGAGCCGTGCATTAACATTAAAACATTAATTACAAGTGCTCACAACTGAGTGATAGATTTCCTTCCTCATATCTCCTGCCGTTTAGTCGGAGCCTCCAAGTCACCGCCGGTTCGTTTTTGATCACAAAATTCAAATCTCTAGCATTTTCCTATCTCGTGAATTGCCCTGAACATGACGGTGATGTCCACGATACGACGGGCTTACAAAGGCCGTCCACAGACCAGCCGGCTACTAGAATTCTTCTCCAGACAGCAGCCAAACCAGACCTAGAAAATCTTGGTGTCGAAAATCTTCCATCGTTGGGTCTGGAACCCTAGCACCTCCTGGTCGCTGC